GAAGACAACGTTGGAGAAACGTGAACATTTTATTTGTACTGTATAATCTGCAGATTCTGACAGTAATCTGCAACTATCCTTTGAAGCACCGCACCTCTCTTAAACAGCAATAAGGATAATTATCAGGCCATATGTAAATAACAAAATAACTTTATAACTTAAAGCAAAATTGGGAAACGTAAAGTCCGAAGTCTTTATATTAAGGGCCATCAGTCAAACGATACTGTTTGCTCTGGGTCTAAACAGAGCGCGTTGTGTGACGTCTTCTTTTGCGCATGCGGGCCGCTTTGAGGGTTCACACTAGAGCGCGTTTGCTGTCACATTTTATTTGTAGTGTGAACAAGCAGACCAAAAATCGGATTTGATCAAACAATCGGAATTGAGCATTAAGACCTGCAGTGTGAACGTAGCCTTAGTTTCCCTCGTCTCTCGTGTGCTTGTGTAGAAGTTCAGTCTACACATGTCCACCCAACTTTTGATGGTTGACTTGTCCAGCGAGAATTATGTTGAAAAGTACCAGATATTACCGATATAACAATTTTTCTAGCGTGTACAACATACGTGTATTTGTTGAATTAAAAGCTGGTCATTATATCATCATTTACAGCCAATTTGAGTGTGAGATTCCCTCCAAGTCTGATTCCTTCCTTTCTTAGCTGTTAAAATACATCATCTACTGCTGATCCAGGATTGCTGTAAGACTTGAGTGCTTTAGTAAGGTCTGATTTTTTTCTTCTTCTTTTGTGCCATTGTCCTCCCAGATCCGTATCCGTGACCCCAATCAGGGTGGCAAGGATATCACAGAGGAGATCATGGCAGGGGGTTCAGGGAGCAGGAATTCAACGCCTCCTGTCGGCCCCCCCTCCTCTACACCAACCCCACCACAGGTATGGCTTACTCTGGAACACCCTCACTCACCTCTCACCCGCAGTAGTTACGTAGAAGTATTTAGAGAGGTGGAAGGTTTCATATTGCTTGGTTGCAGTGTGAGCTCTCTGCTCTAATCTCCTCTCTGCCACTGTGTGTGTCAGACAGGATCAGTTTATTCAGCCATCTTGCCCTATCATAAGAAATTAATGAGGGCTTTCAGCCTAGAATGTTACATGCCTGTTGTATTTTAATCAGGGCCAATATTTAAAAGTAAGTCTTTGCACATTCATTATGTTCATTCCCTTGGTTTCTTAGCCTGTTTCTGGCTAAGAAAGAAGTTCAAAAGCTCACATAAAGATAATAACCAAGTTACATTATTATTAAATGCCACATACAGTATGTGTAGATATGGAGGTGGTTCATAACTTGTAAATATCACTCTGCATGTGATAGTCTCATAGCAATAAGTAAGTTTGTTGTAATCTTGTTTAACAGCTCTTGTTAATCTTACACCTGCTTTTCTTCCTTTCACTGTTTCTGTTCATTCACTACCTTTTACAGTAGATTGCATATGTAATTTCTTTATACTCCTACTCCTTCCTCAGAATCCACTCAGGTTGCAGATTCTACTAACTCTGTTCAATCTATTCTTGCACAAACAAACAAAATAAAAAATGGAATTTGTTTGGCATCGTGCTTAGATAAATATGGAAATGTGTTGGTACTCATTCCTGATCTTTACATCGCCGACTACTCATACTGCTGCTTTATAAAAAACGAAAAGTAGTCCTTGTTTTATATGGAAAATCTAGTGTTCTAATTCTATTGACACATTTTAATAAATGGTAAAAAAGAAAAGCCCAAATGAGACAGATTCCCTGGATTCTGAATTCTGAGAGGGATGTTAGGACTTCTTCCTCCCTGTGTCCTTCTGTGGATGTTAACAGTGTCTTTCCTCTTTTTCTCTGTCTTTTTGTGCCCCCTCCCAATTTCATTTTTAATGCATCTACCCCCTTTTCGCTGTGCTTTAATTCCGCATCGTCCTGATCTTCTCCTCTCCTCCTGCCATTCCTCTCGCATCCCTCATTCTCCGTCTTTCTGTTTCTCCCGTCTTGTCTTTCATCTCTCCTCTTATTCTACCTCGTTGGACTCCTTATTTTTGCTTAATTCTGCATTTGGGCTTGTTTATTTGTTTGCGTGCGTGCTTGCCTGCATCTTTGTGCCTCTCTTTCTGGTTTTCTGTGTTGCTAGTTTTTATGGCCGCACCCTCATTATCCTCACATTTTCTACCTCAAATCGCAGCAGCCGAGCAGCAGCCAGACTCCGGAGCAGCAGCAGCAGTCGCAGCCTCAGCCTCCTCCACAACAGCAAACCCATCCTGGAAGCTACACGTTGGAGTCACCACAACCACCGCAGTCCCAACAGTCTCAACAGCCCCAGCAGCCACAGCAGCCGTTGACAGCTGTGGCTTCAGACACCAAACCAGGGCCAGGTCTGCCCCAAATGCTTCTTTTGTCCTTAAAAGTAATCTAAAACTCCCCAACACATAGGGGCCCAATCCTATTACACTACATAATACATACATGCATATGTAACTATAGGTATGTACATATGGTAAAAACATGCCATTAGGTGCTCAAAAAATACTAAAGTAATGTAATTAATGAATCAATGATTTTACTGTTTCATGCATAACAGCAACCAGTGTTTCCCTCTAGCTGTATTTCTTTTGAGATTTTCAGTTATTTTAAAGATCACTTTGACATTGCACATTGAGTGCTTTCACTTTCATTTCACATTCAAATAAGTATTGAATCAACAGTGCCTCCTGCTCTTCCTGTAAATACCTGTAAGATTTGACTCTCTGGTTTGTTTTTTAATTTTTTTATTTGGTAATGTTTTAACACAAAAGCGTGTTAATACATGATTCTGATTGGACAAACCGTGAGCTTTGCTAACTGCATTCTGAAATCATTTTCCTTCCTCCTCTTAGATGACTTGCCAAAATTGGAGCCAGTTGCCCAGAAGTCTTCCTCACCTGGGCTTGTGCAGCCTGACGCTCCCTTGGAGAGACTGGAGGCCAACACTCCTGCATCTGAGCCCTCTCCTGCTCCCGAGCCCGAGCTTCCCTTCCCTGCTTCTCTGGCACGGCCCGTCACTCTCCCAGTTGCAGTCGCCAACACTAGTGAACGTCCCTCAGCCAGGGAGTCCACTACTTCAGCATCTTCTCACAGCGCCTCCTCCTCTGCTGGGGAGAGCAAGCCCTCTTCGGCACCACCTCAGATGCCCAACACAGACAAGCCTCTTTTAGATGCCCCACGAACTTTAGCTGCCTCTCCATCGCTGGCTCCCAAGGCTTTGAACGGCCTTGCAGACTCTGGGACTGAGCTGGACACTCAAGCTCATGAGCCTTCTCTCCAGTCCCAGGCATCTGCTCCTGCTTACAGAGAGCTCTCCTCCTCTCAAACGTTGCCCTCTGATGTGAGGCCAGAGGTGCCCATTGCTGCTACGCTCTCCCCTATGGCACCTGTGGCTGTGGTGCCAGTCACCCTGACCTCAAGCCCCGTCCCAACTCTGCCAGTTATGCTCCCTCCTGGCCTTCCGCCTCTAGTGCAGGCCACAGCGGAGGCTGATGAGCTGAGCAAGTCCTTAGACACTAAAGACCTCATCTCTAGAGGAGGGGCAGAGGCACACGTTGGTGTTACTGACAGCAAAACAGAGTCCCAGCAACAAGCACTCACCAGGAAGAGTCCTATTACGGGTAGTGAGTCCGTTTAAGTTCGTGATTGCATGTGGCATTTTAAAAGCGTGCTATAAACTAAGTGGCAGTGACAAGCCAATGAGTGGCTGTTTTATGAGTCCATTACTATTTTATGATGTTATACATAAATAGCTGAATTAAGTGGTCCTGTTGGGCACATCCATAAGGCACGTTTTTGCAGATAATCTCTTTTCAAACACTGTGCTAAAATAGCTGATCCTCAGTAGTCCACAATCAAACAAAACATAACACAGGAGAAGGAAAGGAAGTCAAGTCATGGAAATTAGAGGAAATATTTTTTACACTTTTTTGTTTCTACTTGTTTGGTAGCGAACACGGCTTTTTATGAAATCTTCATTCATTTTGAGTGGCTGAATAAACTGAGGGTCATGTTCCTGTCACACCGTCTCGGCATTGCGCCTACTGAATGTTGACTTTTTATTTTCATTTCTCTCTATGAATTTTGTTTGTTTTAACTGGATCTGGATGCAGACCTTTAGCTGAAATAAGCAAATTTAGCCCTTCTGGTTGTCAAAATGTTCAAACTGAAGGTTAGAGCCATATTAAGGACAGCTCCTCTCTTTGAAATCATAGAGACAGTAGTAAAAACTGTCTGAAATGGAGCATTGATTGATAGTTTGATAAAAACATAATGGGTTTGTAACTTGAGTAAAAAGATACTTTTCTTGCCATCATTCTTACTAAATCAAATTTACCTTTTAAATCCCTCATGACTTGTTTACTGACTGGCTGCAAGTGATCTTAAGTTCCTGCGTTTCTGTTTCTCTGTAGTTAATCAGACTGCTTCTGCAATACCAAAGACCCGGAGAAAACCAAATGAAGGGACCTCTACTGGAGATGCACCTCAAAATGTGGATGAGGTAAGAAGTTGGCCTCTTAACTCATAATTCAGGATGAAGAGAAGAAAGAAAACCTAGGTATTGACATCAAATTGTGGATTATTTTTTACTAGCCTCTGGAGATAAGTGGCTTATAGTCTGTGGACGAATAAACAATCAATAATTTTTTGAGATACTGTGATATTTTTTTTTCTCCGAAATAGTTTTTATTTTGTCTTAATTGATTTTGGAGTAGTCCTGCAAAGTGTTACAGGAATGTGAGAGGGAGAGAGGAGGAAAGGCACAATTTGGGCAATAGTTCAAGTGGAAAATGTTTCCACATGTGTGGTTAGGGAAGCAGACATAAATGACTTTGGGGTGTTGTTATCGTCAGCAAGGAGTTATCCATCATCTCCACTGCTCAGCCAGTCCACTGCATGTAAAACCATCTCCGTTCCACTCTCGTTTCCTTTCTTTTATGGTTTTGCACAGGCTTGTTGCTGTGGCGGAGTTCTAACACCGCCAAATACTGGCCAACAAATAAAGGGCTTTAAATAGCTTATTTTTAGTCTATGCTGAACAGGTTTTATGAGCCGTTTTATGCAAAAAACCAAAAAGTCACACAGAGAGGTTTTAAACATAAAACCTTAGGAGTGTAGATAATAAATAAGCCTAAAAAAGTTCATTATGTGTTTCTGTTCTCAGATCATCTCAGTGCTGGAAGCCAGAAGTTTATATGTAAAAATAGAAGGTTTAGTAACAGATACATTAGTATAGTATACACAAAGCACACTAGGAGACAAACACAAAGAGGAAAAGAGGGGAAAAAAAGAGGAAATCCTTTACACTGACTAAAAATTTTGTGGTGTTTCAGAGTGGTGTTTTCCTGCCATGTATAAGTGGTGTTTCAGAAAATATCTCCACACCTTTGGCACTGTTTGATTTGAATGTTTTTTAGGTCTTTGATGAAGGTTATACCCTGTGTGTAGCTGTCTTGTACCATGTCCTAGCATTGTTGTTTTCCCTTCCCATGCCACCTGCTGGGCTGTGCTCACACTGCACTAAGCTGTCTGAGTACGCTTCAGTGTGTTTCTACATCTAAACTTTTGTCTGGCACCCTTGCTCCTTTTCTTTCATGGTCAAGGTTTTTTAAGAGGTTGATTTTAGACAATTTTTAGAATTGGTGACACACCTTGTTCTAGATTTGTAAACTTTGATGAAGGTAGCTTTTGAAGCATATGAGTCCCATTCTCATGAATAGCAGTCACACTGCATGCATACCTTGGCCAAGTTCAGCTGAACCGCTTAATGTTGTTTGGGTTCTGCATGCAGCAATCACACTAGTGAAATGAGATATATTGTCTGGGTGAAATGTGCTGTTATTCCCTAAGACTGCATAACTAGCCAAAAGAAAGGTAAAGAATACAGTGGGTTGTTTACTAAACAAGCTTTTCCCACACCAAGAGTAAAAAGGTTATATCCTTATATAATAACCAATGGGAATTTATATTATAATACAAGTATTATAGTTGAGTTGATGGTAGACTGTATTTGTATTTTAATTGTTCTGCTGTATTACTCAGAGGAAGTTCAGTGTTTCCTGTTGTGCTGTTTATGTGCATAGATGGCGTTTGAGTCTCCACGATGAGGACTGCTAAAAGAACTGGGCTATTCAAATTCTAGTTAAATGACTATGGGGAGAGGGTAAAGGGGAATAAATGATACCAGCAGGATGTCTTTGAACTCTGTCACCATTTGTTGCAGTCTGTTAAAAGCAGCATGTTGTGCTTCAGTTTTTACATTTTCTTTTTTTTATGAACTATCGTTTTAGTGTGTAATATGTAAGGGACTTCCAGATGTTTATTTTACAGTAAATATGTATTTTTTTTTTTTTTGGGGGGGCAGTTGAAACCTGTAAAATAATTTCAGAGAAAGCTGCAGAACAGCGGTTTCTCTCAACAGATTTAATATACTGGTCTATCCTGAAAATAAACAGGTAGACCTTAATTTAATCAGTGAATACCCATTTCAAAGCTAAGTTTTCATGTTTCATGTACAAGTGTGCCCTGCAAGTACGTTATAATTAGACCTTAAAAATATATGTTTAAATGTAACCCTAACCGTAATTTGAACACGCTTGGACCTTAATGGAATCTTGCCTCCTCATAGGATGAGTCTAAACCAGTAGATCAGCCTGCTGGAGACCAGGCTGTGCAGTCAGCTCCTCTGAGCAGCAGCCCAGCACCCCTACCATCAGCCTTCACCTCTACCCCTGCTCCTGCTTCTGGTAGCAGTCCAGAAGCTGATGGAAAGCCCACTGCTCCAGAGGAAAATGGTGAAGCAGAGTTGGAGCCAATCAGGAACGGAGCAGGCCACACCTCGGAGACGGAGAGCAGCGACAGTGGAGCCACCCCTGGAGACAAGGAGAACTCCACCGGAGCTCCTCCAGACATGGAAGGTGAGAAGGACCTCAGTCTGTGTGAACAGTGTTTTCAAATGACCCAAGGCAAAACTGAAATCCAGGGAGCAAAGGATGGAGTTCTGCATTTACAAATAAAAATATTTGTCTTTATATTTCTATATTTAGAGCTGCCTCTAAATGAAAAGCTCTGCACTTCTGTCTGTTTCTCATATCTGTTTATCCTTTTTTTCCCCTTTACTTTCCTCTTCAATTCTGGTTGGCTGTCCAGACCTGACTGAACCCAGTGGGAAACGTCAGTATAACAGAGAGTTTCTGTTGGGCTTCCAGTTCATGCCTGCCTGCATACAGAAGCCTGAAGGGCTCCCACCGATCAGCGATGTGGTGCTGGACAAGGTAAGCTACCGATAGCCCAGCAGTCTTGCAGAATTCATAAAGCTTTAAACAGCCTGACATCTGTGTAGATAAATAGATTGTTGAAAATGTTGTCAGGTTTTTATTTTTTATTTTTTATTTTTGCAGATATGTGGCCTTGACAGGCCCATCTCTGTTGTCTTGGGCTAACCCCTCCTTTATTTTTTCCATTATTGTTATTTATTCCCAGAGCCAGACTTCTTGTTACCAGACTTCAGCTGACATTTAGTTAAAATCCCATATGTATCACCACTCTCTTATCACTTAAATAATTCAGTGACAAAAAAAATAGTAGGTTTTGGGCATCTTTGTCTGAGGAGGGGATATTGATGTGTGCGTTATAAAGGTGTTCAGCGAGTCTTTAGGCCTCAGAACAGTAAGAAGCAAACAAAACAAAAGCAGTTTCTCATTTTAGTTGGAGGACGTTGCAATTATTAGTATTGTCACCTCACAGTAAGAAGGCTCTTGGTTTGAGCCTCCTTGTTGGTTGGGGCATTGCTGTGTGGCATTTGTGCCTGCATGAAGTCCCTGTGTTGGTTTTTTTTCCCACACAGTCCATAAATATACTTGGTCGATTGGTGTTTCTAAACTCGCATTAAGTGCGTATGTTAGCATGTGGTTGTCTGCGTTAACGCTGTGATGGACAGGTAACTTATCCAGGTCATATCCCCCTGCTTGGATGAGGAGCTAAGAAAATGAGTGGATGGTCTTCTCTCCTCCTAAAGCAGGCTGTAGTGTGGTAGCTGGAGGCCCATGGTGTTCATGAGGTGTATTAAATTTAGCTCTCGCTTTGGCAGTGCTCGAAGCAAGAGCTGTCCCTTTCGCTATCGATGGACTTTCGGGTGATCTGCAACTCTCCTAAACCGTACGAAGGAAATAAATGCAGTATGATGTGGTTCTGCTCTCTTCGAAGTCACCAAAGGACTGCAGCAAAATCCAAAAGACTGGAGTTTAAATAGCTTACACCAGTGAATGACGAGTCTTGATGGTCTCCAGCAGCATGTATTTGAAAATAAGCACAGTTGCACTCACGGCAGGGGCTGGAAGAGGTGTGCTGCTGACCCCTGATCTGAAGGTATTAACAAATGTTCTCCATGATGTAGACTAATTCCAAACAGTCAACTCTATCTCATTGATCTGAAAAATATTTGTGGTTTCAGCTTCTTAAACGTGAAGTTCAAAGCGTTGTGCATTTATTGTCATTTGGGTTTTAGACTGTTGGTCGTGGGAAAAAGAACAGACGTAAAACACAGAAATCACAGCAGGCTCTGGGCATTATTCATAATGCCATTGTTTTTAAAAGATTAAAAAATAATGGTGCTGAAAACAATCATTAATTGTAGCATTAGTTTCAAATCAACCTTTTTTTGTGAAATGGATGAAAAGGATTTTTTTTAACCACATGTCAACAGGCGACAGACGTTGTTTTAGTTTGTGAGTTTCTGCGTTGGATCAAAGATGCAAGTTCAGTTTGTTGCTCCGATCCACACATATGTATGGGTGGAGCATATGGCCTGCAGAAATGCTGTTTTGATTAAAATCACATTGCTATTATGTCATACTTGGCAGTGTCAAGAGCACATGCCCCTCCCCCATCTCTCAAAAAAGAACAACCAGGCCGGCGAACAGTTGATTGGTACAATCCCAAAGTCTCATTTTCTCTGTGGGAGAAAGTGAAATCTCACTGGAAAAGAGTCAAGAGGAAGTCAAGGACAGCTGAAAGACAAAGAGCTGGATTTGTTCTTCTCTCCTCCCCCACAACTATCTCGCTCTCTCCTGCGTTCCTTTCTTCTGTCCTCCCCTTCCACATCTGGTTCTGACTTTTCTTACTGTGCGGCCCGCAGAACAAGCCGAGCATAATTTATTACCAGTGCTAGAAGAACATATAAACCGTAGACTGATAATGTAGTATGACTGTCATTTATTGGAGTCCACCTTTAAAAGTGACTACCGGGTTAGAAATTCATCCTTCCACACACACAAACACACTCACACACGCTTATTAGGCTCATCTTGCCCTGTTGCCAATATTACCAGATTACCAGGGTATCACTGCTCCCCCTGCTGTTAGGGTTACTTTGTGTGTTTATGTGTGCGTTTGATGAAATATTCTGTATGTTATGTTTCATGCAGATGAACCAAAACAAGCTGCCGTCCCGAGCGGTGGATTCCAGGGTGATTTCCAGAGGACCCGATTTCACACCTGCTTTCGCAGATTTTGGGAGACAGATGTCTGGAGGACGAAGCTCTGCGGTGAGTCACACATGTACTCGCGCAAGCTGCCACAGTCATTCATAAAATCCCACTCGCACTGCTTCTACTCCAGTGTACAGTGTAACACAGTTAGTTGTACACTTGTCAAGACTGAATTAACCTAATCAAGTGTGCCCCTATTAATAATCCATAGGGTTAATACAGTGTTTCTTACAGGTTTGGGTTGCACCCACGTTTGTCTGCATTCTATGTTAACGTTCACTGCAGCATGAGAGATTTGCTTAAGGGCAGGGTTTTGTATCCACAATGGAAATCTTAAAACGGAAAACCTATAGCTACAAGATCAATATATGTGACTCGATGTGAAAGGTTAACATCTTCAAGTAAACTATGGATGTTGAGCATGTGGCTAAAATGTAACCTAGCTGAGTGGTTTGTCAGTTAGCTGGATGTTGAGAAGTTAAAAGAATACAATATTTTAGAATCTATATAATTTATTTGACAATGTTTTTTATTTTCTTAGTTGCAAATATTTTATTTCTCCATTACTTTGTGATAAATTAATCATTCTTAAATTATAGTAATTATAGTAATTAAATTTAGTAATTATAGTATAGTACGGTGTTAAATCGGTGCTATTTATTGATTTATTGATATATCTATTTATTGATTAGTACAAGGGTAATATCTCTGAAACAAAGTGTAATAGACTGTAATTTGATTTAGCACATTAATACATGACAGTGGTGGAATATAAGCTTAACATGCCAACGCACAAGTATATATGCAAACAAAACCTCAGCCGCTACTGTGGGGATTCAGTGCAATATGCATTATAATCAGATGCCTCTCCCATGAGTCTCCCATTCCTCGATACACTCCAACTTCACTATCTTGAGATATAATTGGCAGGAACCAGCTCTCCACCTGCTGCGGGTCTTCTATTAACTGTCACTAGTTGTGTTTGAGTCCATCCGATTGCAGGATAAGATCCTCTCTGGAAAAGCAGCTGAATGATCCAGAGGATCGCCACAATAGCAACCTGGCTAAGAAGCTAGCCAGCACGGAAAACACAAGACAGGAAGTGGTAGGGCTAGCTGGTCGGGTGCATTTGAACTTTCAAAATAACAATGGGAGGAACTTCCACTGGCAAGTCAATCACAATCAAATGAATAAAAAAATGCTAAAGAGAGTCACGGAAAATACTTGGGTGGTTTGTAGCCACCGACACACTGCAGTCTTTTTAAACAGAGCTGGAATAATTGATACTTCTATGAGTGCCTCCTGGTAGTCGTGTTGTTTGTGTCCTATTGTTTTTCCTATTTCCTATTATTTTTATTATTTTTTATGTAATTAAGTCATGTCATTAGCAGTGTTAACTCTCTCTTGATTTCTTTCATTATATTCACAGATAATGAGCATTGGGCAACGACGGCCTCCACCCAGGAAGATCATCATGAACGTGGTGGTGAATGATGATGTTCAGCTAAAAAAATCAGAGAATGCCTGGAAGCCTGGCATGAAGAGAGAGAGTCTCGCAGAGGATCCAGAGATTCAGAGGACACAGGCAGGGCCAAATATACCATACACAGCCAGCAAAACACACAAAATAACACATAAAATAATACAGCAAAAATTAGCCGCCTAAATAATTAAACCTACCACTAAATGAACTCACTCAATATACAGTGTCTGATTGATAAGCTGAGTTATTAAGTTCTATTTATGATTGCGTGATGGCTTCCCTACAGGAGCTCTTCAGGAAAGTACGGAGCATCTTGAACAAGCTGACGCCTCAGAAGTTCAACCAGTTGATGAAGCAGGTAACAGACCTGACCATCGACACAGAGGAGAGACTCAAAGGCGTCATCGACCTGGTCTTCGAGAAGGCCATCGATGAGCCCAGCTTCTCCGTGGCTTATGGAAACATGTGCCGCTGCCTCGCCACGGTAAGCCTATTATACTATGCTATTATATTGTTAGTATTGTAAATATTGCATATAAATAAAAATGTGTTTAAAATGACTGTTTACACCTAAAAGGGTGTGCTTTGGTGTATAATTTTTTTTTTCTTTAGTATAACATGAAAAGTACTTCAGTTGTTTTGGTCTGTCTTAAAAGATTCTTAGGGATGTTGCCTTTTCTCTAATTTCTCTTTACTACAAACTTTGTTCACGTACAGCTCAGAGTGCAGATGACAGACAAACCCAACACGACAGTGAACTTTCGCAAGCTGCTGCTAAATCGCTGCCAGAAGGAGTTTGAGAAAGACAAGGTGGACGATGTGGTGTTTGAGAGGAAACAGAAAGAGCTGGACTCTGCTGCATCGGTATGTCATCTGTGACTTCAGAAGTATTACTTTGGATTTTATTTGGACTATATTCCATTCCTGGCAAGATACGATTTTTAAACTTTGATGTTTCCTTGCTTTCTTTAGGTGACTGAGCGTGAGCGGCTTCAGGAGGAGCTTGAGGAAGCAAAGGACAAGGCCCGGCGGCGTTCAATCGGCAACATCAAGTTCATTGGTGAGCTTTTCAAGCTCAAGATGTTGACAGAGGCCATTATGCATGACTGTGTAGTCAAGCTGCTCAAGAACCACGATGAGGAGTCCTTGGAGTGCCTGTGCAGGCTGCTCACCACCATTGGCAAGGACCTCGACTTTGAAAAGGCAAAGGTGAGCTGGCGGAGAAGGTTCTTTTATTAAGTTGTTAATATATAGTTTTAGTTAATAGTTTAACTATTATGTTTAATAGTGAAATTTAAGTGTCTTCAGTGTTTGGGGAAGTATTTAGTTACCTGCTGAGGCTTCAAATGAAAAGCTAAGACTTGAAATAGGAGGAATTGCACTCAAATATTGATAAACAATTAGCATAAAACACCTCAGAATCTGCAAATTGACAATGTCTGACCTTGTCTGTGTAAGTTTTGCAGAGAAATTTCCATCCAAGGTGTAAAAATGTGGTTTTATGGTCATATAGACTAGACCCGGGGTAGGGAACGTTAGTCCTCGAGAGCCAGTGTCCTGCAGGTTTTAGACAAGACATGTTGAGGAGCTAATTTAGCCATTTAAATCAGCTGTGTTGGATCAAGGACACATCTAAAACCTGCAGGACACCGGCGTCCTGGAGACAAGCATTGAACCCAAGACTTAGAGATGCTGGTATGCACATTTAACTTATAGACGTAATCAGTTAGCTGTCTCCTGTTTTCCAGTATTTATGCCAAGATTAGATAAGCCTCTGCTGATAATTGGTACAGAATTTATGCTGCGTGTTGTATCAGACTCAGGGCAAGAAAGTGAATCGGTGAAGGTAGATGTGATCGACACTTACAGTAATGTTACATTTACACTGATTCGTACATACTAGCACAAACCTGAAGGCTGTTGGTGTAATGTGCTACACGCATAGTCTTGTTCATTATATATTCAGAGGTGATTTGACATTGCAGCGAGACCTTGAACAAACCTTTTATCTGAGGCTGTGTTAAAAACTTAAAGCCAGACTCGGAAATGAAAGTGAACATTTGGATGGATAGAGTCAAAGGTGAATCAATTTATATTTATGACACAGGCATGGCACTTTGACATCATTATGCCTGTGCTAATATCCACCAAGGTAAGCGTTGGCTGTGCAGCAGTTAAGTGAATCTGATGAGGTGAGATGAGGTGATTCTGGTTTACAGCAGCACAAATTCAAGAGACATAAAAAAGAAGTTCTTTTGAGATTTGATCCTTCAACAGTTTGGCTACATTCAGTTCCAGAGGCAACAGAGAAGCTGTTTATATAGGTTATGAGGAAACGGGGATATCCCCACAGTGTCTCTGCAGTCGATGCTCTGTTTTGTTCTGTCTGACTGGCTCTCCTGTAGATATCAGTGACTCTCAGCTGGTCACAGAAAGAGTCCTTAGATGCTTGGAGAGACATAACTGACCTAAAGGCCATACTGCTCTCTGCTGCACTGTGATGTGTGGTTTGATCCTTGTCATGTACCAGTCACCCTACAAAAGACGAGTCCTCTGACCAGCAGGGAAAACATCTAGGACTGTAGTCAACCAAGGAAAATCTCAACAGACTGACATCATACCTACTCTTTAACCAAAAAGATTGTTCACTGCAGGGGAGGGGGTTGTGTGTTTTTATGAGTCACAAACTGGTGTTTGCAGTGTATTAAATCATTTAAACCTCGCTATGTTAAACTGAAATTACAACAACAGATGCTGGAGCTGGTGAAGCTGTGGCTGGATGCCTGTGCCATTGCAAAACTATTATTAGGTTAAGCGTATTTGAAATATGCCTGTTCTGATATGTTCACAACGCCTGAAGAGGTAATCAAGGAAGCTTGTGGAATATTCGAGCTCAGACAGCTTGTGTTTCAGCTTAATGAAAGCTGAGCTGTGATTTTAAAATTAGATTTTGCTCAACAAAACTGAAGCCCAAACAATGAGTCTTAAACTTCCGCCTGATTCCATCAAAATAGAATGATTGCATGATTATTTTTTGGTTTTGCCATTTTGTCCATTTCTTTGAATTAACAAAAAGTTCCTGTTTTGTAATTACAGAACAGTCTCTGCAATGGCTTACCAGAAGTTTTTCTCTAATTTTCCATATTTCCATATTTAAGCCTAAAGACTTTCATTTACTACTGCAGCAGCATTTCTTTATCACGAAGAAAAACTGAGATGTAGTGTCGAAATCACACTTGTTTTTCTTATGTTGCGATATGTCGAGGATTAAATGTGTAATTAAACTTTACACTAACAGAAAGGGGAGTTTCACTGGTCTGGCACACATATGCTCAAGCTGGGCTGTATGTGGCCCACAATGTAAAACGAGTTTAACATCCCTAATTTAAAACATCAACATCTGTAAAGTTGTTATATAGGGGGGAAAGTCTTTATAGAGGCCTCAACCAATTTATGCTAGGTTGTTAACATGTTTTTTGTACTATGAAGTTGGGTATTTTAACATGGGTTGTCAGCAGTGAACAACACAGAGGAATTTTTGTTTTTGGCACTTTAGCCTTGGCTTCATGTTTCAGCTCCAGAAGTTGCTGCTTGGTTTTCTTTGACATGGTTTCAGTTGATTTGTAGCAAAAGTTCAATAAATGTGAACATTGGCTTAGTTAGACAAACCTAATGACGAGAGCAGAGTCCACAGTTGTGATATTTGGGTCTTTGTTTGTCTTTTTTTAACATGTAGTGTTTTCCTCCTGCTGTCAATAACCAGCCCCACATTGCCACTTCAGCCTACTGGTTGAGCAGTGAGCATATGCCATAAAGCTTAAATGCAGCAGCCTGGGTTTGAGTCCAGCCTTTCGCCCTTTGCTGTGGATGCTCCTTCGCTCTTCCTCCCCTCTTTTCTATTAGCTCTGCACTACTGGGCTATTACTGTAGATAGAAGCAGAAATTCCCCAAAAAGTTACCAAAGAGCTAACCAATTGGCGCAAAGACTGCACCCTTACAAAAATCTTATGAACTCAGCGTAACCACTTAAATCTGCTTTGTTTGCTTCTGGAATATGTTGAGAGCCATAAAATCCTAAAGAATTTGATCATAAATCAGTCATTGTTCCCTTTTTAGATGAGTTTTATCTTGTTTAATCTCATTATTTTCAGAACATTTCTGTTCAATGGCGAGCTATTACATCGAATTGAGTCCATTCATCTTGGGTTATTAGAGTTTTTGTTCTGCTGCGTCCCAAAATGTTCCCATTTAATGTTGGTTGGTCAGGGCAGCTTCCCCTCCACGTAATAAACTGAACAATCTGTCAGTAGAATGAAACAATGTGAGTCACTCAGACCTGCTGTCCATTAAAGAAATTGAAAATTTAACCTTCGTATCTCAAACTAACCTTGTCTGTCTCTTTCATCAGCCCCGGATGGATCAATATTTCAATCAGATGGAGAAAATCGTCAAGGAGAGGAAGACTTCATCTCGGATACGGTTCATGCTACAGGACGTTATAGACCTGAGATTGGTGAGTGTGTGCATTTCTGATAATTGTTTTCAGTGGAGAATTCAGCCCATGTTTAGATGAACTAATAATGCATTTCCCCCCACGGAGGTTTATTTCATTGATTTTTCTGACATGTTTCTCTGAAACATGCGGGATATCAGTGTTTTGATCTAGTATTGCTCAAATGATATCTACTCCACCATTGAATCTTTACACCTTCTGGTAAAATACACAGTAAACAATAACAAACCTCAAACAAACATGACCCTGGAGTATTTAAATACCTGACCTTGTTTAAGCTTGTATGTGCTGATCACTCCTTAGCTGTATACTTCTGTTTTTACGAATGAACTGATGAAAACTTTAGGAAAATCCGGTCAGGATATTTTACTCACATATTGCACACAGCAGAAAATAATCAGCTTCAAATATGTTCCCACTACAAGTGTGCAAGCAGTCTGGATAGAGAGTGTAAGATGCAGTGCACATGTCACATGTTCAGTGTGACATGCATCCGATTACACGAGCTATTCACACATCAGCACAATCAAATATCACATAGACTTTGGGACTGGCAGATTCAAATCCAGCTAATGTCCATTCTGTCTGGATTTGCATTATTTCAATTTAAAATCTCAGTCTTAAAATACAGTGGCCAGTTAGCTCAGAATAAATGTATTGTTGGCTAACAGCAAAATCAACATGGGGAAGTTTTACTACAAAATTCTTTAACAAAATACCTCAACTATATCGAAAAAGCTAACAAGTTTCATCTCTAACCCTGAGGAGTCGATGTGCTTTTGTTTTTCCTTCAGTCTTGGTTATTAAGTTTGTTTTAAATTTAATTCCGAATGTGGCAAAAAAAAAAAAGTTGTAATAAGTCTTAAATCTAGGTTGTCTTAAGCTGTGGGAAATCTAGAAGAGAAGCTTTAGTAAAAAGCTGCTGGTGTTTGTTGTCTTCTAAATAAGCATTAATGTTTATTCACTGCAGTGGACAAAAACATTAGACGCTACCATAAATACTACTGTGTATATTCCATTCAATTTTGTAGATATAGCACCACTTACTATGCCACTATGCCCAGTTATTATTTTATCACTGTTTGCAATAACCTCTGAAGAAATTTATGTGGAGTCTGGTGTGAGTGTCAGTTACCAAATCAGTTAACAGGAAGTGGGGTATAAACCATTCCCAGTGATACTGACTTGCTAACAAGGTGCAACACAGCTTTTAAAAAATATATCCTTAACACTTGTACAGAAGCTGCGTGCATCTACTGCTTTATTTATTTTATAAACTGATTAGATTGAGATGTTTAATTATAAAAAAAACCTATAAACATGTCTAGTTTAGAAATCGGAAGTTGTTGATTGGAAAACACCTTCATAGTAAAAATAGGAAGAGGTTCACAAGTAATAAACCCACCTGTAAAGCTTGGGTATGCGGTTTATTTTTCCCCTTGTTATTTGCTGCTGTCTCTGGACCCAACCAGCATCTCAGTGACGGGTGCTTCATTCATCTGTATGCATGACACCAAAACCATCTATGCTAACATGAAAGTCCAGTTTGAGAACGGTCAGCTGTCTCCACACAAAGATTTTAACTGTTCTCACGCAGTCATTTGCAGTACACACATATCCATGCTCCCATTTATACACTGGCTTTTATGGGTTTTTGTGTTTGTGTTTAGCTGTTGTAGCCTGAGTTTAAAAGCCTAATGAAAATGAGACAGAATTGTCAGTTCAGCTTTATACATATATCAAACCTCATCTGTGGTGTCGCTGTTAAGGTTGATATTGTGTTTTTCCTGTAGATGCATCTGCATTGATTAAGCTGAGATTGCTCCTTAACTCTAGCCTGACACAAGCTGTTTGAATCAGCGTCAGCATCTCATACGCAAAGGAGGAAAAATTCAAATCCCTGCTGTGCTACGTTCCTGTCAAATTTGAAATTGAAATGAGCAAGAACGTACTTTGTTTAAAAACAAAAACCTTCATGCTCAGCGTCATAAACGCACACATAGATATTAATAACAAATGATGGGCTGTCGCAAGTTGAAAACCTTGTTGACACATCTTCTGTCAGGTGTGGTCACTCATTAAATTATAAGTGATTTTCTTTTGTGACTGACTCTTCTCATATGTGATCGGATCTGTGTGTCATGATAAAACAAGGGAAATACGGTAATTTGCTCTGGCTGTTGTTTCAGTTGGTTTATATCTGACTGACACTGTTCGGTGTATTTTATGAATCTGGTGTTTTTTTTCTCTCTTTTCCAGCACAACTGGGTTTCCAGGAGAGCTGACCAGGGCCCGAAAACAATTGAGCAGATCCACAAAGAGGCTAAGATTGAAGAGCAGGAAGAGCAGAGAAAAGTGCACCAGCAGCTGCTCTCCAAGGACAGCAAGAGGCGGTCAGGTCAGGCCTGCAGTCTAAATCCTCTTTAAGGCTTAGAGTCATATCGGCACAGCTACAGTGACTCAGGAAGCCTGCAAGTGTACAGGCAGACTTCCTGTCCCTATAGCCCGCAGAGATGCTATTGTGCCCAGCAGCAGAAAGGAAGCCCCCCTACCCCCACCCATCTGTCAGCTGACCTATAATATTTCATCATGTGTTTAATGTGTGTCTGAAATGATGAAAAATGTTCAGAATTGTCGCTGAATTCCCACGGAACTATATTTTTCCTGCTTTATGCCCCTTAGATCCACGAGATCAAAGAGATCAGCGTGGGCAGAGAGAAGAGACCTGGAACACTGTGCCTATGACGAAGAACAGCAGGACCATCGACCCCAACAAGATCCCAAAGATCTCCAAGGTGAGACATGCTGTCCATGCTGGTCGTAGCCTGAGATGAGCTTCAGCCATTAGTTAGAGCGCCACCAGCTGGAAAGACAAGAAAAACCTTTAATAAATCTTAAAAATGTTCAATATGCTGTAAGTGCCCTTTTTCTACTGGAAGAGAAACCCCTACAGAGAAACTGCCTGCAACTTGCTGTTTCATTTGAAACTCCAGGCTGCTGCTTTTTTTACCCACAATAGTTTATTTGCTCAGATGGCTCTCAAAAAAAGGAGAAAAAGAGAAACTTATAGCGTGGTCTGATTTTCACCTAAGTCAGAATTACAGACAAAACTTAAACTAATAACACAAAACCTTTCTGTCTTTATTGAACATGCAACAAGTAATCAGAGCAGCTTAGAAAAACTGTGGAAAAACCTGTAGGATTGTCAGGATACTCAAATTCCAAATTCTCTGCTGACACAAAAAGATTTTTAAATATTTTATTATTCTATTAACAAGTACAACAACAAAACTAATAACATAAATATATATGTATATTTAATTACGAGAAGAAGAAACTAATTGGAAAGTTAAAATGAGTTTTGCTCACTTAAAGTGAACAGATCAGCCTCCACCTCTGTGCACATTGCTTGGCCTCAGTCTGAAGCTCTTCTATTTCTCACAACAGAAACATATTCAATTTGGTTGCTCTGCTCTCAGTTTCACTTTTTATTTGCTCAGATTAGTGCTCTGCACTCTGGACTCTCTGTTCAGTTCAGCTATTGCTCTGCACAGCCAGCAATCCACCTGGTTTTCCACATGCTCCAAAATCTGTCTGTCACCTGACCAGCATCCCAGCATCCCGCCATTGCTGTTTTTTGTTTTTTGTTTTAATTTATTTATTTAAGTATTTCTAGTGGCGTTGAAATAGAGTCCTTGGTGGTTTTACGTATAAATAGTGGATTGGGGTTTTTTTACCCCCCACACAGCAAAATTCACTATGTGACTAGTAAACTCTGTGATGTCAAAACAATGATCTTTCAACTGAATTTACATATTCGGCATGTGGGCAGTGTTGCAGGAAGGCACCTCTGGCCGGTGAGCAAAGATTTTGTTGATGTGGGTATGAAATCCATCCGTTTTCTTTGCACTTTTAGTCGATACAATGACAATCGAGTTCATATTGTTTCCTGTGAATACTCCCCCTCAGATCACTCAGGACATTACACTAGAACTCCTGGCTGACAGTCTCACCCTGAGGGACAAATTCAAAGTGAACAACACGATGAATGTTTTTTTTTTTTTTCTTAAAAATGAACATGCACCAGGTCTCACTCCTCACCTGAGACCATGACTTTGGCCTGAACTCATCACATGAAAACTGTTCAATCATAACTGGAGGTGTAGTGGCCAGCACCAGTGATGACTGTCCCTCACATGAAATTGGGGTCAGTTTGAAACAGAATTGATGTTTGCTCTCGGCACAGGTTTGAGCACCCAGAACAAGTGGTCAGAACTTCCAGAGTGAGATCTAAAAATAGCAGACTGTCTAAACAGTTTTTTGTTTTTTTTAAGAAAAAGCATCATTATGTTGATTATTTCTTCTCCTCACAGTTAGCAAAATCACTTGTTCTCAGACTGAGGAGCTTGGAGCACCGTGGGAAAACTAAGATAAAATAATGTAATTTTGGAGGGCAGAATAGACGAGATTGTTGTACAGGCTTTTTGTTTCTCACTAAAATTAAATTTGGATTCTTGTTAATAGTTATTAAACAAAATTGCAGGGTGTGGGTTTAAAAAATTTGGCCTCAAAAAAAAAGGGCATGCTAGAAAAGGTTTGAAAACCTGTGAGTTAGTGACTCTGTCAATTCAGGAGGCACCAGTGATGGTGGAGGTATCAGAAATGAGCTCTAATTAGAAACCTGTCACAGACGGCGACAGTGTTTTGTTGCAGCATGTTGTGTAATGGGTCTGATGGTGTGTGGGTAATGTGCGGCTGCTTTGTTCTCTCAGATTCTCAGACTTGGCTGAACTTTCTCAATTCTGCATTGTAATATAAACAAATTGTGGGATGGTTTTCATGTTGTGACAAGTTTGTTTTCCGTTCAGCATGTGTTTGGTTTTTTCATTTCATGTTAAAGCCCCTTTTCAGCTGGCTGGTGTTTTTTTGTACACAGAAGATAACTGTTTATGCAGACTCAAGATGACTCTTAAGGATAATCATAACTGGGCCGAGTACATCAATGTCCCCTGTTCCCATCTACATAACTCTACATGCTCAGTTATGCATATACTGACATCCTGATGGAACTATAACTATTGCTGGGTAAAAGAAGTTAGTTCATTTTTGGAGCGCCCTCTGCTGGAAGCACTCTGGCAGTTTTAACTGTTAGTCGATAAGAGAGAACCAAATATCCCAGAAGCTGTCTGGTATAGAGGCAGCATTTTAGGTGCTATCATCATTTACAGCCGCATTTAACTTTATACTCACTTGACATTCACGTTACATTTTTCCTTTGGCCTTATAGCTGTCAGTCTTCCTTGTCCTTACTTTTAAAATACTGCTCTTCTCCAGCTTAAAAGCAGAGATTCTGAAGCTTTTTTTCTGAATTATTGTGTTCCCGCAGCCTCAGATGGATGAGAAGATCCAGCTCGGCCCACGGGCTCAAGTCACGTGGGTGAAGGGCAGCAGCGGAGGAGCCAAAGCCAGCGACTCAGGTAAGATGCCACAACAAGCTGTAACATCATTAGCAAAACTTGGAAAAACAGAACCGAGCACACTGTACAAACTGTGGTCGTCATAACAGTCTTTTCATCTCGAGTCTCAGAGGCTCATTAGTTGTACTAAAACACCAAAATGGCAAAGTTTGGAGCATCGCTCAGCTTTCAGCTGCTGACTTATTGACACTAAGTCAGTTTTGGCAATTTACAAACATCTTTCAAATACAATAAATGGCTGTCAGTGAGACTCGATGGAATAACATTAGAAATTATAAGAAATACATCTTCAGTGCCTTGTGACTGGCCCCCCAAAAATGTCGAAAATCAGGTCTGATGGTGAGATTGTAGCTGCAGCTGGCTCAGATGTGTCACAGTAAAAGCATCAGGATGCATGAAGAGCAGGTACTGTGTGAAATTTCTGAAAACAAAGACTGCTTTCTTCCACACTCTCCACGCTCTGACCTGTGGCTGTTAGGCTCCATCTCCACAGGAAGCATCAATTTTCTATACAAATCCTGTGAAGCTCAGCGTTGACAGCCCTCAGTCCTCAGGGCAAACACTCCCCCAGTGCAATGCACTTGCAGCACTTTTAGTTCAAAATAATTCAACCTTTGGAGCAGCATTGCTTTGCAGGCTTAATAAACACTTCTCTCCATAAATTGAGATTTATATTTTTAAAAAAAGTTCAGCTTGTGAGTTCAAGGCCTTTGGTGGGTGCCAGTGTGCATCAGCATGATCGGTTCACTTTCACACAGATGTCTCAGTAACCATCTGTAGCAATGCCTAGTTTTAGTTTCGTTTAGATTTAGTGACAGTATTATCCTCTTTGTATAAAACCTCTTTGGGGAGTGCCAAACATTTCTGTATGCAGGAAAAACCGTGTAGCTGTGATTCCCTATGTGTTGCTTTTTTCCCCTGGTAAATTGGGAAGGTGTTGCTGTTTGACCTGGAAAGGTCTTTCAAATAACCATAAATGTTTTATTATGAATTACTTGCAATCAAAAGTATTCAAAGCTAATAAAAGAAAGCTTTGATTTTACATTTTGTCATATCCTTTATGTATCTGAATAGCTTTTGATCCACTGCTGTTTTATTTCTTTTGGTTGTTGAGTAGTTAAAGTTAATGGTCTGCTCATTAATTGCTGAGTAATGGAGCAGTAACTCTCGGGCTCTCTGGAGTTTACAAGTGTGGGACCTGCAGATGAAAACCATGAAATGATAAGTATAGGTGGGTGACAGAAGCTTTTCAGGGCCGAAGTGGATTGTGGCATTCATTAGTTTGGGGGTTGGCTGGACTTTTAAAGCTGCTATGGACAGATTATGCTGCATAGTGACTGAGTCGAATCAGCACTCTGGCTGATTTGACACTGTTGGGATTTAAATATATATTTTAATGCTTATTTTGATGATTATATTGTATTATCTATAAGAGAGGGCCAACTTTGAGACTAGGTCGCAGGCTGACAGGAAACTGCATGTTTTTGCAGAGCATGGTAACTGCAGGCAGAAAGTGAAACTAAGCAGAGTGTTTGATCGAAACTAAAAATTTGTGTGACGTCTATATGAATAACTAGGCTTCCCCTTTGTGCTTCAGACCTGAGCTTGTGTGTTCGTGTGTTAAGGTCTCCATATTCCGGAATATGTAAAATTAAAGATCATTTTGTAAGTTAGACCACTTTGAGCCGTGTCTTTCTTTGCCGTAGGGAATACAAAGAACTGAGATTTAATAACACCAAATCTAATGATCTGTGATCACTCCTCATTTTTCTTCTTCCTGTTACAGACCTGTCACGGACAACTGGCCTGAACCGTTACTCTGCACTGCAGCCGACACTCTCACCTCAGCCCTCCACTACACCTCCCCAGAACCCAGACTATGACTCCAGGAGAACTCTGGGAAGGTACAAAACAACTCCAGCTCTTATTTGTTCCTCCTGATTGTTTTCTGATTTCTCGAATATCCTTTTATTGAGCAACATCCTGTTTGACTTCGATTTTTTTTTTCTCCCCCCTTAACAAAAGTCGTGCCAGTACAGGCAGAGAGCGCAGCGACAAGCCACTAATCTCTGCAGCGCCATCAGCACGGCCCGGACCGTTCATCAGGGGAGGAAGTTCTAAAGAGCTGCTGGAAAGTCCGAACCCAGAGGAGCCGCGAAGAGACCGTGAGCGAGAGGGAGCCGAGCCCCGGAGACCGAGTGTCACTGAGGACAAAACGGAGATGGAGCGCAGTAGAGTCAGGGAGCCTGGTGAGAACACAGCTCAGCCTCTGCAGTTTACATATTTCATTCAGTTTTCAGGTGAAAACAAGCGAAGCCCTGAGTTTTTGGTGTTTACAAGGTAGGCCACTTCTTACCAGGGTACATTTCATGTACAAAAGCACCATCAATCAAATGCCTATCATTCCTGGACATTGGTACTCAGATAGTGAGAGAGCCTGAGGCCTCTGCCTTTTTTAAATGAGCATTGGTAGGAAATTTAAATTCTCAGGAACACCTGATTTGGTGCATTTTATAGAAAATTTGTAGTTTTGTATTAAAAGAAACCTGTTTACATTTTTAGGGTTGTATTATCATATACATCTCGCTTGTTGACTTTATATAAAAGTAGTAAACCTACTTACCAGTTTGAATTATTTACTTTAATATTTCTAAGGTCATCTAACACCTCTTGATGTGCTTTACGGTGTTGTAGGCTAATGTAGTCAGATTTTCCTGTGGTTTAATGATCAGTCAGTAGTAATGAGTCTATTAACTTGCACAGCCAGCTTTCCTTCCTGGCTTTAAATAGATTTTATTTATAAAGCACTTTTTCAATTCGAATGAAAACTTCAAACACTATAAGCACGCACAGATATTCATTCTGCACTTTTTAACACTATGCTGCTATATGGTGCTTAGGGTTAGAAATCCCTGGGTATAATTGTGTATTTGCCAACCACCTTCGTGTGACTGTTTATCCTGATTGCCAGTGTTGATGTAACTCAATCCAGATAAGAAGAAGATTTGCGGGGTGTGTTGAACTTACTTTTTAAAGCAGCCATCGGTTCTTTCCACCAAAAGGCAAAGTTGGGACTTAGGACGTGTTTATATGTTTACAGTGAAACCTGAGCCAGTGGTCCAGATCCCAGACAGACCAGCCCTGTCTGAGGAGGAGATCGAGAGGAAGTCTAAGTCTATCATTGACGAATTTCTACACATAAACGATTACAAGGTATGACATTCACGAGCAGTAGGTGAAGTTTACGGTGCACAACTTCTAATACGCATCAGCAAGCTTCTGCTTTACATGGATATTAACAGTGATTTTTCCAGAAGATTCATTCATGATTAAATAAGTTATTTTCTTTAAGGCAAGCATGCATTTTGTATTTTTCATACCACTTTAAGATATGTTGTAAGCTTTAACCAAGATTTGTGTGAGTTTAAATCCACCAGCAGGGTAAGATAATGAACCGTGTTTGATATTTTAATGATTTATAATTGCTAGAATGGAAAATTTCAGTATTTACATTTTTCAATAATTTCCAGCTGAATCAGTTTTGACCATATTACTTCATTTTCTGCAGGAGGCTATCCAGTGTGTGGACGAGCTTGACTTGGGCTCCCAGCTTCACATCTTTGTGCGCGTTGGGGTGGAGTCGACCCTAGAGCGCAGTCAGATCACGCGGGACCACATGGGCCAGCTCTTCTTCCAGCTGGTGCAGCAGGGAACCGTGCCCAAGGCCCAGTTCTACAAAGGGTCAGTTCACTTGCTTAGTGGCCAATAATCAGTCGATCACTAGAACTCTTCTATTTACTTTCTTCTTAACCATTTTTTATTATTTGACTTATTTGGCACTGAAATTTTGGACCAATCTTGCAATGGAAATACACATTAAAGTGAAAGTATATTCTTTAAAAAGCACATTGCAGTATTTTTAACATTGTCCAGATGTGTTTATTAAATTGGAAATAAAGTTTGAAACACTGTGTCTTTTTAGGGGGGGAGGTTGTGCTTTTCCACCAGTCTGATCTAGCAACTTCAGAAGTAATTGATATTTTCAAACCTTTTGAAGAAGAAGGCTGGCATCTTCATCGTCATCTTCAGGGCTTCTACCACTGTATTGCCCACTTGGCTTAAGAATAAGAAACCCCCCCCCAAGTTGGGGAAAAAATGGCATCTAATCACTGCTTGATCTTCTCTTTGTCTTTTTTTTCTCAGGTTTGCAGACACGCTGGAGCAAGCGGACGACATGGCCATCGACATTCCTCACATCTGGCTGTACCTGGCTGAGCTGCTCAGCCCTGTGTTGAAGGAGGGGGGCTTCTCTATGAAAGAGCTCTTTAGGTACAAATAACTAAAAAAATAAAAGAAAGATTTGCTGCATTTGTTCAGAAATAAATTCACCTCTGCCACCAATTTATCTACACTTTAGTCTCAGATTACCTTCCATCAGACATAAAAAAAAAACCCACGAGGGTTACATCTGCACATGTGTTTAAATAATTGGTCTGATTGCATATTTGCTGTAAACAAAGCTGTGTGTGACAGGGGGAAAAACATGTATACTTCAATTTCTTTCGTCTCTGTTTGCAGTGAATTAAGCAAACCCTTGCTTCCTGTGGGAAGAGCTGGGATCCTTATATCTGAAATACTGCACTTACTATGCAAACACATGGTAAGCAATGCTTAGATGTTATATTGTTGTTTTTTATGATTATTTTTTACTTTTTTTGTTGTTTTTTTTTTAATCTGTTCTCATGACCTCAGTAACATTTAATCAATGAAGATTAGGGACTAATGAATAATATATCTGTGTAAGTATCTATGCTCCTTATTCTCGCCTTCAAAATGTTGAAAATGCAAGAAGATGTGTGTGAGGGGAGAGGTTTAACTTTTGTCTTGTTGTGTTTCCACAGAGCCATAGGACTGTAGGTTCTTTATGGAGGGAATCTGGCCTCAACTGGACCGACATTCTTCCAGAGGGAGAGGATGTCCAGGCCTTCATCTTACAACAGGTTGGTTAGTGTCAGGCTCAGACTTGACAACATTTTGATTTCTTTCATTGGTCACTAGGTCAGATAGAAGTTAACATTAGGGTCCAAAAATTTCGCTTTTTTCATTGTCTGATTACACATTGCTTCCTCATCGTTCATGTGTTGCTGTTTTTAGAGATCTGCATGATGTCATCAGGTGTTACCTAGGAATGATAAAGAAAACTATGTAAACAGACAACAGGAAAACCTTTTTTTCCCCCTTTTCATCACCTTTTCATTTCTTGTCCTCTCCTGTCATTTTCACATCAACAGAAACTCCAGTTTCTTCAGTCAGACAGCTCCAATCCTGAGGCAGCTCTGCCCGAAAGGATCTTGTCTCCTGAGGAGATGAGCCAGCATCTGGAGAGACTCCTCCTGGAGGATATGGCCAGCGATGAGCAGATTTTTGACTGGGTGGAGGTATGACAAGCGACGTTACTCAGGAGCTCAAACGTCACACAAACTGTGACCGAGTGGCTAAAAGCAGGAGGAGCGGCAGGCCGTCGTTTGCTGTGTTGCTTTTTTTTTTTTTTTTTTTTTTTAATTAAAAGTATGGAATGAGAACAGACTTGGTGTTTGCATTTTTTATTCTTCCTTCGCTTTAATTTTTTAGATATAGGATTCTGTAAATGTGTCTTTTTACAGTGCCTTTGGTGCAATTAAAAAGAGACATAAATATAAGGACTGAACGTTTTTGTGACTTTTCTGCCTTCCACTGTCTTTCTGTTCTGTTCTCTTATGTTGAGCGCTGCACCTCGTGGTGCTTCATCATTGTTGTTCAGTTGTATTTTTTTTCTTACTTTTCCTGTTTTCATCTTTATCCTGTTATGTTAATGCATGAATAGGACGACGTGTTAAAGATGTCTGAGGTGACCAAGCTTGAGGTAGCCAGCTGGAATGACGATAGAATCAGAAGCCATGCCAACTGTTTTAATGTAGCCTGCTCTTATAGTACCTGACTCTACAGAAGTGGACAGCTGGGGCTCAGAAGTCCACCAATACCAGAGTTTGTGGTTTGATTCCTTGACCCCAGTTACTCATGATGGTCAGACCAGCAGCATGCCTCCTGGCTTTGAGCAAACAGTGTGTATGAAATTACAAAGCTCTCTGGATAAAAGCACTACATAAATGTAACCCATTTGCCACTTACCATTGTACAGCTGCACTCACTACTAAAATGTCAGAAAATAACTCAAACACTGTGCAAATATGGTGAACAGTAGAACAGAGTATCAGATCATTCGCGGACAAGTAGGTGTTAAGTGACGTGTTGATACAGCGTGTAATATAATCCTGGTGTGGTTGAGTGTTTGAGCTGAGGACGCAATCCAAACATGGTTTGAAGGGGAAAACATAGTTAAAACATGTCCTGCTTCAAAGTTATGTGAGGTTGCAGTGTATTTTTTACCTGCTAAGTGGAGTCATGTGACAATGACAGCTAGTTCTGCTCCATTTCCCAGGCAAATCTAGATGAAACACAGATGAGCTCGTCTCCCTTCCTGAGGGCTCTGATGACAGCTGTGTGTAAGGCAGCAGTGAAAGGTAAGCCACTCCACCACCTGGAGAAGACACTTCTCTGTTCTGCTTATATCCCACCGCTGATTGCAATATTTACACTCTGCCAAATTGCGAGCGGGCCGGCTCAGCATGCATTCACTCTGCCTCCTGCTTTGCTGTACAGATGATAACACCAATTGTCGAGTGGACACGGCCATGATCCAGAGGAGATTGCCTGTATTACTCAAGTACCTTAACTCAGACACTGAGCGACAGCTGCAAGCACTTTATGCACTTCAGGCGCTGATCGTTGCCCTCGATCAGCCTCCAAGTAAGTTCTGCCTCATAGTTTATAAAACTAATAAAACCTGCTGCTCTTATCTTTCCTTACGAGCGCCTTTCTTTTGTTATTGCTGATTAGAGCTCAAATACTGGCTACAAGCGGCTGTACATGTAATGATTAAGACATTTTTTTTATTCATTTAAAGAACTTGATCTCACCACAGAGTTCTTAGAAGTAAATTCTTAATAGTTAGTGGCTGTTTCCAAGGTAAAGAATGATTGAACTAAAAGTCTCAGTGTTTCTCTGTGGAGGATTTACATAAATAAACTTGATGAGAACTTCACTGCAGTTTAGTTCTCAAGGTATAAGAATATAATGTGTTTCAAGGAAATATATCTTGCAGTTATGTCAACATGGGTTAGGTAGGGTTTGCAATAGACTGTATATAAAGGATGGCCACTTTTTTTTTTTGCTGCTTCTATGTTGATTCTATGAAAACTAGTAGTGACTGTATTTAGACAAGAGGTTAGAGTGTCACTTTGTCAGCTAAAGCATATAAAGCTGCATTCATAAACTACATGCACAGTAGGGGTGGGGGAAAAAATTGATACTGTGTAGTATCGTGATATTTTGTTTGCTAATAATGTATCGATACAGGGACAGCAGAAATCGATATTTTGTTACAAAAAAGGTTTTTGTGCTCTGACTTCAGAGCATGTTGATCCTTTTTCTGAGCAAGTATCCTGACATTCCTTCACTGTCCAAATGTGTTTAACTTGCTGAATGGGCTGCATAGTTTTCATAAATTGCATAGTTCAGAATAGCTATAATTGTACCAGATAGTTGCGTTCAGTTAAGTTGGACTAGACTGTAATACAAACCGTTCAGTTTGTCAACAATAAAATTGACTGAAATGAGAGAAAGACTGAGTGTGAGACTTTGATATTAGATAAAATGAATATTGATAAAGTTTACCTTTATGTACAGAATCTGAATATCGCTAAATATTTTAAAAAATTGCAATAATATCGTATCGTGCGTTAAGTATTGTGATAATATCGTATCGTGGGATGTATGGTGATTCCCACCTCTAATGCACAGGTGCACAAACACTCTCAGATAACCAAACAAGACCAAGAACAAAACACTAGACTTCAGTAGCATTCTACTACGGTCATAAAAAAAATATTTCCATCTACCTTGTTTTATATTTTTACCTGCAAGTCTAGTACCATTCCATAAACAGCAGTGACAGAAGATAAGACTCTGATTAAGTCTGAAACAGCATGAAAAATGGAACTGTGGTGAAGTTGGTATTGCCTTAACAAGCATTCATTGTAATGACCAGCAGGGGGCAACTTCTCTAGCTGCAAAAAGGCAGGATTATATAGAGGTGTATGGGGAAAAATGGTCTTCAGCTGACTGTATTTGTGACCTCAGTAAACGGTTTCCTGATTAATTTCTGTGCTCATTTGCTGGTTTCAAGTCTTGACGACTAAAAAACGAATTAAATTTAGCAAAATACGCCTATTCTTTAAGTCACAAAGGCGGATAAGCTTATTGGCTACAGCCTCAACTAGGTGTGTGTAGAGTTCAGTGTAGTTTAAGTTGCCCGCTTGAAGGCTTCACTGCATAAATGTAACTTTTCAATCAGTCTTGTTATCTTTTTGGCTGGTTTTAAATTTATTTTAAAGTTCTTTTAGAATGAAAATGAACAGGGTTCAACTTTAACCTAATTTCGAAAAGAACTTGTCAAACAAGGTGCAGTTGAATATTCGATCTCTTCGTCTGTCTTCTAGACCTCCTAAGGATGTTCTTTGACTGCCTATATGATGAGGACGTCATCTCGGAGGACGCTTTCTACAAGTGGGAGTCGAGCAAAGACCCGGCCGAGGAGCAGGGCAAAGGCGTGGCCCTGAAGTCCGTCACGGCCTTCTTCACCTGGCTGCGCGAGGCAGAGGAGGAGTCTGAAGATAATTGACGAGGGAGCCACCCGCGGACGCGACTTAGTAGAACTGTATCCTGGCAGCAGAACAAACTTTCAAAATGGCTGCGTGGGCAGGACGACATGTTTACGGCTGGAATTTTTTTCTGCGGTACGGTTCTGAAACATGCCGCCATTTTGAGTTTGGATCCCAACGGTGGAAGCACTAAATACCTGTATTATACATAGAAAATATTTTTTTTTTAAATTTTAACTTACTTTTCTTTTGTTACTTTTTAAGAAGAGACTTAAAAGATACATAGGTTCTGGACTCTTTAATTTATTATTTTTTTAAGGACTGCAAATATGAAAGTTATTTAACATTTGCAGATGCTCACAATGAGAACAAGACGGCAGAAATAACAATATAATTAATTATAATAACAAAATAATAATTGTGAAATAAACAGCCTCCCCGGATTCCACGCTGTTTGGTTTAAAACAGAGTAAAGCAAAATTATTTTGGGATGAAGGGGAAGCAAAGATTAAAAAAAAAAAAGAAGAGGAGTTGAATGCACAGGAACTATTAACATTGTCCAAGGTCAAAGGTTATCTTGTAATAACCAAGAAGTGTCTCCCTGAGCCTTGGCTTGCTCTGCATTGATATGTACATACGCCTCATGAGAGGTAGAGGTATGCATTCAAGAAGCGATGCAAGTCCGAACTGTCACAGAAACGTAGACGAACAAACCAGATTCATTCAGATGGAATGAGCAACTTCAAAAAGCAAATGGCCAGAGTCGCTGAACATGACATGCTTGTAACACTTCAGACCTACAGAGCAGATTAAAGCTTGTAAATACATTAAAGACAAAAAAAGGTATTTAAAAAAGTGCTTATTCTCGTGTTTTCGTCTCTTCTTTTTGGGGGGAAAGGTGGGTTGCCAGATTATTTCTTTAACGCGTGTGTGTATGTGTGTGTGTCTAATAAACTGAGCCAGTGAAGAAAAGCAGGAAGGAGCAGCTGGAATCGCCTGGAGCCACCGGGAAGTTGAAATCATTGCAGCGCTTCTTCTCATGCTCGTATTCGATGTAAACATTCGTACGTTCATATTTAACGTCTGTTACGTCACGCACCCATCATCACATGTGCTTTTAGGGCTTGGGTTAGATTTACAGCAGCAGGCGACACTCCTAGCATGAATGACTCTGACACACGTTCACCGATGAGGTCGATTCTCTTGTCACTGTTACAGAAAGGTTTCATAGGTTTTTGAACACCGGTACTGGATTTTAAACAATTAAGATGGGATTGAAGTGAGGGGTTTAACAAAAGTATTGCGTTAACTGTGGAGGAATTACAGCCATTTTTCTTTGTATCCGTCAATGGCAGTTTATTGGCTGCTATTCTGGGGAATGGTTTATCACTTGAGTTTTGTCTTCTTTCTTTTTTTTCTTGCAAAATGGTGCAGCTTAAATTAGAAAATGTTCAGCGTATTTGACAAAACAATTTAAAGAAACCCCAGGGCGTTGTAAAACTGACTGATATAGAGAAAACAAGCAATTAAGAAAATGATCTGCGGATTTTACAGCAGCAGCACATTGTTATGCAGCATCATGAAACCATTAGCTGTAATAGAACGTGTTTGTTTTTAGCTGTTCACTTCCCCCTGAAGGGTGTCTTTAATCTGTCTGGCTCGTCAAAATCCAAATACTGTTCTGATTAAAGTTGAATGTCTGCCACTTTAATGGAGAGTAAACTTGGAGCTTTAATCAAGATAACCATTTTCATTGTTCCCTTCAAAAACTACAGATCCCACAAATTATAGCTTTGTCCATCCAGGCATTATCCCATCACACATGTGAGCAACACTTTCTCTGATTTCACTTTAAAGGATTTACCAGTGTGGCCAAAACTGCTCTTGAATTCCAGGATATCTCAACTTTGAAATAAGCAACATCTATCATGAAGTTTTTATTAGGATATGTCAAAGAAAATTCACAAAAAAGCAGGAAAAACAGCATTCTGACTTAATAATAATTAAGAAATTATAAAAACTAAAATCCAGAATGACATAATGATGTTATGCCTTTTGTCTTTTCAAACTATAATGATTATAATTGTTTGTTTTGTGTTTCTTAACAAGCTGGTAGTTTATTTTTGTTAATTTTTTTCCTTTTTTAAATTTTTTGTATTGTTTTAGACAGTTTCTGTTGTTTGTGTTGTTTATTTCTTTTAAGGGGATTAGATAGAAATCTATTACAAAGCCTTTTTTAACGTGATATTTTTGTTTCGTTTTGGGGGTTTTGATTATAGTTTTTTTAATTTTTTTTTTTATTTTAAGTTTTTTGTAGTTTTTATTATTATTATTTCTACGGTTGTATCAAGTAGTTTCATCTTGTTCTTTTGAGATTTTTTTCTTTTGTTTTGGAGTGGGTTTTTTTTTTTCTTCTGTCTTTTTGTGTGGGTGGAGAAGGGGGATAGAGGTGGAGGTGGGTCAGCCTCGACGGTGGGAATCCTTCGCTGTGCGTCGTGACGCAGCACGTTGCAGTCCTAACGGGGCGGGGCTCGTAAACAGAGGAATCGAAATAAAGGATCGTGCAGAAATTTAGCCCAAAGTGTTTCCGTTTTCCCCGACGTGTTAAAGGTAAGTTTGTCTCGCGTGCTGATAAATTGTTTGCTAAACATGCAGTTGCACGGATACGGTTCGGGAAGCAGCCGGGGGTTTTCACTTTGTGCAGCTGGAATGAATTTCATCTGCCTTGTGAGACGCCATTATTGTGTGTATAAACCGACGGACAAAATGGCGAAAACTGCTGAAAAATCCTGGCACCTCGTCCTCTGGCTCCCGTGGACGTGATGGAAATCTGTTGGCAGAGACCGACCCATCAGCGGGGCAAGCTTTGCGCCGTTTTGTAGGCGCTCAGCGTTTTGCGTAATGCAAACAGCACCTTTTCTTCAGTTGGGGGATAAAAGGCCTCAATGAATGAAGGGGGTTTGGCACCAGCGGCAGTTTTAACCCTGTGCATACACAAAATGGGCCTCAAACCAGTGAAGCCAGTTAAACCAACAGTCCTATTCAATTTCTAACTAGTATTAACAGATATTTATGTGCTGTAATAATTGTACATGTGCAGTGTGAAATTTATAAATCTTTATTGTATCTTTTACTCCTCAGAACTCATACTGAAGGTTTAAGTTTAGCATGTTTTGTTTACCTGACGGACATGAAGAAATTACCTGAAATTGGTGATATAACTACTCAAACATACACCTTTAATACCGTTAATAACACATCTTGAATCCTAATAATTTACTTGTAAAATAAATAAAATCTACGGATGCACTAATTTTATAAAATGCGAACTTCAAAAAACTTAAAAAACAAAAACAGCTATTTGTCAGGTAAATATCAGCTACTGACATCGATCCACAGGTACAGTACTGTTTATGTAGTTGGGGTTTTTTTGCGAAGTGGTAAAATTTTGCATATCAAAAATTTTACTCACAAAGCCAAACAATAGTTGTGCTCATGATCTTTTCTGGTTCTTCAGGTAAATCTCCTGTGATGCCGATTCGCCGAGCAGCAGCGACTCCGACCCAGGAGAAGACCCCCTCCGCTGCAGCAGAGAAAGGTAAGGGTGAGGTAGTCCTTCACCTGCACCCTGTCAAACCCTGGCCCCGCCCCCTGCCAGCCATCTGTCCCAGTGTTCAACTTCAACCAATCTCACACAGAACGAACAAAACTCATCTCCAGATTTTTTTCCAGCAGTATTTATTAGGAAAATAGAGTACTTTAGGTTTCTTGTATACTTTATAGCAGTTATACATTCACATTTATATTATATAGTTACAGTTTCATATATACAGTTTCATATAGGTTTGATTGTTTAATGATTAGTGTTTTATATAAAATGTTTTCGTATTAGTTTTGTCTCATAAGTAATTCAAAATATATCATCTTAATTGTGTCACTTGACTCATAATCCTTCAGATTTATCACACATTTGTACTAAAGCCTGATTATGCTCATTATGTTGTTTTATGTTCTTGTTTATTTTTATTATTTTATTTTATTAAAAGAAAATACACTAATGTTGCATTTTATGTAATGCAGGGTTTTCCCTTCCAGTTTTATTTTTTCATTAAAAACTTTAAAGACCTCGAGTCATACTTTTATGTAAGTTTAATAATATCAGCTTTACTCTATGAAGAAAAATAAGGGCGGTATAGTGTTTTTAAGGTTTTATTTTTAATGCTTTCTCAGAACCTGAAGCCTCCTCGGAGGAGTCGCCCGCTACCGAAAAGGAGCAGGCCGCGTCATCAGCCGCAGCAGCCGATGGCGACGAGGGCAGCGCTGCGGGCAAGACGGCGCCCGCAGAGAACGGGGAGAAGGCCGACGGTGCTGCAGCGGAAAAGGAAGGAGAAGGGAAAGAGAAGAAAGAGTGAGTTTCACCATAAGATAGCCTGCAAGCGTGAACAGTGCGATATTTCACTTTGATAGCACTTTTATCTGTTTATATTATCCTTACCTCTGCTGGATAACTGCAGACTGCTCCTCTCGTGCAGTGTTGCATTTCTAAAAGATGTGAGTTGTCACATCCACATTCATTCCCTGCATCATAGCCATCAGACAGATGTGCGCAGTCTTGGAGGAGTCCAGGAGGAGAGGACAGTGGCATCGTAACAGTGTGAGGATTTTCTAACGCCCCAGTCCAAGTGATCAGTGATATATACTCACATTTTGCCCACTAATAAAATCTAGCACTTTAGTTTAGCTCCGATGATCACGGTTTTTGGGCTGGTCGCAAGCCTTTATGGACTCTTTTGTTTTTGTTTTTCTCCCCTATAAACTTTAGCTTTCGTAACATAGAATTTTGGCCTCCTCCTCTTCTTCTCCCAGACCTTGCCAAAACAGACCTTCACCTTTTTTCTTTTTTTTTGCACATTGATCATTAGCACTGCAATTCAGTGAGGGTCAAATTACCATGGTGGTCATTAAGACAGATGTTCTCAAATTTCATTTTGTCTTTCCCGTCGGTGACAAACGGACAAAGTGACAAATGCAAGGACTGCGCGGCTGGACAGTGCGCAACACACTGCTATGTTCTCCTACTAAGGTGAGGATGTGATAAAGATAAGGGTGGTAACGATCACAGTGAAATATCGCTTTTAAAGAATCAACCGTCATGACTGAAATTGTGTCTTGCTGCTTCTGGCAACAGGTTGAAGGATGGCTACAAGTACGAGAAGTCTAAAGTCAAGAAGGTGAAACGGACGATTCCGGCGTGGGCTAGCGTCACTGCGAGCAAAAAGGTCCCTGTTACCAACTTTGCTGGCACTCAGAACAAAGTGGATAACATCCTCATTGAAGCCATCACGGTGTGTGCAAACACTGTAAAGTGAATCTCTCGGCACACAGCCGCTCTCTCGATTATTTATTTATTTATTTATTTGTTGTCCGTGTCCTTTGTAGTCTTGCAATGACAGGTCTGGAGTTTCATACCAATCTGTCATGAAATATATCGTGAAAAAATACCCAGGGATGGAGCTTGACAGGAAGAAGTTCCTCATCAAGAAGTCCATGAAGAAACATTTGGAGAAGGGAACCATCAAACAGGTGAAGGAGCCAAGAAACTGTCAGAAGTGCTCTGTTTTTCTCAAGGATTTGTGGTTTTAAGTCTACTTGCTTGTGCTTTAACTGTCTCTCTCACGTAGTTGAAGGGGAAAGGTCTTTCAGGGACCTTCGCCATTGGGAAGCAGACTCCCCTGTCTAAGGTACGTCACAACAACTTGCAAGATGCTCAGTCTTAAAACTTGTTGGGAATTTCTTAGGGTTGAGTGTTAGCAGTTTCCCCGTGTTTGAAGTCCTAAAGTCGAGCCAAGCATCTGGAT